ATATATATATATATATATAATTTTTTTACAAATTAATTTATTCTTCTATGTGGTTTTGTTTTTTTCTTTTATCATCATTATCTTATTTGGTATAAGCAAAAGGATGATGAAGGTTAGAAAAATCTCTAAAGAATAAGAAACCAACTATTGGAGTTATTGGAGTTATGGATGTTTTAGAAATATAAATGGTTACTTTCTATATAGGCTTTTGTTAGTTTAATGTAATTATATAAATATCATATTTCTTGTGTCCTTAGAAAATTGTATTAATATTATTTATAATTTAGATTATCTATTTTTAATATTATTATGAAATAACTTATTTTATTAATTTTATGTTACTTAGATATTATATATTAAATTTGTGTGATTATAATTAATTTAGTTAAAAATATATTATTTACAACAAGAAGTTTAAATTTCACTTATATTAAAAAAAGTAGATATCTATAATGCATAAAGCGTTTATTTGTTCAACTAAATTTAAATATAACAAGCACTCTTTTAAAAATCAAAGTTCAAAAGACACGTGCCCAGAGTTAACGGAATATAGCATTCCATGGTAATAGATGTGCTTTTTGGGGCAAATAAATGTTTCTGTCGGTTATCTTAATTTCAACACAATCACGTGAGACCAAGGAAACTAAAATTTTAGACTCTGTAAAGGCGAAAAATAATGGATTATGTCACATGAAATATTTAATTTTTTTAAGTAAAAAATATCATCCTTTTAATATCTTTAAAAAATAAAATAAAAATTCAATCATTTAACCACACTAATTCAGTATCCATAATTTTTTTTAACAAAAAAAAAAGCCCACATATACTTCATGACAACTGGTACAATCTTCCACATTTTTGTTAACCCAAAATAATTCATTAATAGTTTTCTCAACCAATATTATTCACTTTTATTTCCTTCATTAAATGCTAGAATTAAAGGCTAAGCAACACTTTATAGAATTAGTGGGTGAGAACTTTCCTTCAAGAAAGACTATCAATTTATTAATTTATTTTGGTATAACAATAGTAACACATTGTTTGAATCTAATATGTGGACTACATGTTTTGATGTCTATGCAAGTGTGATGTTGATTTATTTTTCAAATTAAAATATAAATTTTCCTTTGTCCTTAACTAGTAGGATTTTTTTTTAAGAGTATTCCTTTTTTATAAAACTTATTTGTAATTATCTCTGTACTAACTATATGTTTTACTAAAATAATTTAAATTATTTCAGTAAAAAATAATAAATGTTACAAATTCTCTCTTTTTCTCTCTTATAGAAAATGAAAATTGACGAATTTAATTTTCAAAATTAAAACCCTCATCACTATTATTATCTATCCGTGCATTAATTATTTAAAGGTAATTTAAAAATTATTACAATTACAAATAAATATATCGTTATTGGTTAAATTAATTAAGTTTGTTAATACATGTAAATGTCGCGATGTGTTATATTTATGGATTATTAGGTGATATTATTATTATTATTATTATTATTTAAAATTATGGTGCTTTTAGCTAATAGCATGAATTGAAAATGTGTGATTAATAATTAAATCGTTGAAATTAACATCATAGTTAGTTGTGAAGGTCCATACTTATTAATTGTAAAGAACTTTGTTGCCAATATAATAGAAATGTTTTTAATGCATCTTAAGTTTACTGTTAGAATTATTAATATTTTTTAGGATTTTGTGAGACTTACAAGATTTATTGGTTGTGCTTTTTTTCATAAAAAGTTTATTTAAAAAATCAAACAAAATGTAAAAGATTATAGTAACAATTGTATTTTTTATATATTTATGTTACCCAAATAGAATAGTTAACACTATTATAGTGAGTTAAACATTGTTTTGTGAGTCGCAGGTAATGTTTAATAAACTTATTAAAGATTCTACAACGAATATACGTCAAACGTAAAAGTTTATTTGTTTTCTTTTTTTCTAAATTCTTTATATGTTGAAATTATAAAAGTTATTATTATTCTTGAGCATTCTCATGAAGTTAGTTTTAGACATATTTAGTTGGAGAATGATTGCGTTGTGTTATATAAGGCTTTTTTTTCTTTCTATTTCTTAATTTGTTGTTTGGTCTCTTAGAGGAAAATAAAGAATAAGTTCGAAAATATGTAAAAGAATTTAAATAATTGTTCAGTTAATTTGACTTCATTATCATTAGAAAATAAAATTCATTATAAATAATACATTATTATATTATTTATATAATTGCTTATGATTTTTTCCGTAAACTTTATCTTCAGAGTCTTTAGCTTTATTTTTAAGAAAGTTTGCTTTGTGCATACATTTGTTAAGTTGCCTATTATTTTTTTTTTCTATTTTTTAATAACTATTTTTAATGTAATGTCAAATTGTATGTTTTGATATGTCAGCTAACTAAAATGCCCTCGTAAACAATAATATCTAAAATAGAATTTATAATAAAAACGTTAGTATGAATGCATTGTTATTTGTTTTTTAAATGGAAAAACGTTTACATTAAGGATTGTATTTTTGAAAATAGAGATATAGTTTGGCTTCTTTCTTCTACCATTAGCAAGTAATGAGCATGTGCTATAAAGAAATTTGTGCTCATTTTATTTATAGATCGAAAGAGAGGGGGAGGGCCCTGCTTGTACAAAAATTAAATAAAAAAATAAAAAACAATAAAAATTCTTAATAAAATCAAATTGTTAACTAATATCTTATATCAGTTTAACTGTTTTTTCTTTCATAATAATTATAATAGCTAATCCTTTAATCATCAGATAAGAAAATAGTGTATGGTAAGACATAAGAAGGTGTGTAATAGAAATAATTTGATCTAATAATTAAATAAGAAGGTGTGTAATAGTAATAATTAAATACTCACATATTTCTCAATTTTCATAAAATTCCCGCATTCCTTTCTATTTGTCTTGAATTTGAAAATATATATTTTTTATTTCTCTTGTTTAGAATTTTAATAAGACATTTTAGGTTTCTTTTGTATTAAACTTCAGAGATATGGATAAAAGAGAAAACTATAGAATAAAAAAATGATTATATTTATTGATTCGTGCAAAATAACATTAAAAGATGCATAAAAAAGATACAGAGAAACATTTTTTTGTGGAAGTTGTATAAGATTATTCAAGACTTAAATCTAAAACTCTTGTGGTGATGTGCTGTTATAATATATGTCCTCTCACACAACCAAGAGTAGCATGGTAAAAATAGGCTTGACCTAATTTTTGAAAGTTTCATAGAAGAGGTCAAACTAAACTAAAAAAATTGTAACCTAAAATAGACCGAACATTGTTCTGAAATCCGTTAAAAGAAAGGTATAACTAATACTTAGATCCTATCTCACTTTACTTTTTCTTAAAATTAATTTCAAAGCATCACACCTCAACCAACCATAGTAATAAATTGATACTTTGATTGCTATAGATAACTGATCTTATTTGCAATAATTTTTTTTTCAATAATTATTATTTGTGATTTATCTTCCATAAGACGAGGGATGTAATCTACACTAACATTTTCTTAATAATCACCGTATAGAAATGTACTCTGACATTTTAAAATAAATAAAGTAATACCATTTTAGTATATATTATAAGTCATTCTATCCTTTTGAGAACTGTACTCAAGAGACCGAGTCCAGTTTTTTTACGTAATTTATTGTACTATGCCCTAGAATGTTTTCAAAATACATTATCTTTTGTATATTAAAGTAAAGAAGGTTTTTAATATACTTGAAAACATAAAAAATCCATATACATCAATGTGTTTTAAAAACACAATGGAGGGTAGCAAAAAAAGCTTAACATGACCTGCATATTACAGCACCGTGACGAAGGAGCAGAGATGCATTCAAACTTCCCTAAGAGTATATATATCGATGATCTTGTCAAACATTCAAGAGGATTAATGTAACATAAAGAAAGAGAGGTGTTATAACGTAATATTTTAAAACAATAAAAAAGTGAGAATAACAAAAACAAGGATTGTTCGTGTAATTTCTCAAACGTAGAAGGATAGAAAGTGTAGTTTATTCCAATATGTAGACACTGTTTTGGTATATATCGGAGCATAGATAGGAAATATATGAAAAGGGAAAAAATGAAGAAAAATAATAGAGATAATAAGTGATATATATGAGAAAAAGAAAAAGTAAATTTAAAGCGAGTAGTTTTGTTAATTTCTTAGATTGCGTAGCAAATGTGAAGCTAATAAGAGGTGTATTTTTTGTTAGGGAAAATGATAAAAAAGCGTATTAAAAAAGAAAAGTTAATAAAAAAAAAGAAAAAAACCATAAAAAGAATCCTATAGGAGTAGTGAAAAAAGGAAAAGAAAGAAAGAAGTGTGTTAAGTGTTAATAAACTCAACGACCTCGGTGGGCATTAATGAGGGTGGATTGAGAAGGCAATGGAGTCTACGGGTGAGGGAAGAAAATGAAGGATGAGAGATTGAAAAGATCAACTACAGCCAGCATCTCCACTCCTTATTAATTGTCCCACTTTCAACTTCACTACTATAAAACACTTTTTTCTCTCCTTCACCTTTCCCTCACACACAAACGTCTCTCTCATCTTCTTCTTCAACCCTTCTTCTTCTTCCCTCACACCCACTGTTCTTCATATTGCATGGAACACAGTTTCTGAATATCCCTCACTTCACTACACACCTTTCCTTTGCTTACATTGAACTCGTATATACATACACATGCATGCATTTCAAGGGTCTCCGGTGAAAGAGGGTGAGAATAGAAGATTAGAAGAATAGAATAAAGGTGGTTTTTTTATTTTTTGGGAGGAGGGTCCCTCGTTCACATGGAGGCATCGACGGCTTTAATGTTCCTATCTGCAATAGCGGCCTATTTAATATGGTTCACCTTCGTAACTCGCTCCCTCAAAGGTCCACGTGTCTGGCCCCTATTAGGCAGCCTCCCCGGTCTCATCCAACATGCCAACCGCATGCATGACTGGATTGCTGACAACCTACGCGCCTGCGGCGGCACCTACCAAACCTGCATCTGCGCCCTCCCCTTCCTCGCACGCAAACAGTGCCTCGTCACTGTCACCTGCGACCCCAAGAACCTCGAGCACATCCTCAAGCTCCGCTTCGACAACTACCCCAAGGGCCCCACCTGGCAGTCGGCCTTCCATGATTTGCTCGGTCAGGGCATCTTCAACTCCGACGGTGACACCTGGCTCTTTCAGCGCAAAACAGCAGCGCTCGAATTCACCACGCGCACCCTGCGCCAGGCCATGGCGCGTTGGGTCAACCGAGCCATTAAGCACAGGTTCTGTCCCATCCTGGCCGCGGCTCAGCAAGAGAACAAATCGGTGGATCTCCAAGACCTCTTGCTTCGCCTCACTTTCGACAACATATGCGGCTTGGCTTTCGGGCAGGACCCTCAGACTCTGGCCGTTGGGCTCCCTGACAACGCTTTCTCTATTTCCTTTGACAGCGCCACCGAAGCCACTTTACAACGCTTCATTCTGCCGGAGATTCTTTGGAAGCTCAAGCGATGGCTCCGCCTCGGCATGGAAGTGAGCCTTAGCCGAAGCCTCAAACACATCGACCAGTATCTCTCCAGCATCATCAAGAACCGTAAACTCGAACTCGTCAACGGCACTGGCTCCCACCACGACGACCTCTTGTCTCGTTTCATGAGGAAAAAGGAAATCTACTCGGACGAGTTCCTCCAGCACGTGGCACTCAACTTCATCCTGGCCGGACGCGATACGTCATCGGTGGCCCTCAGCTGGTTCTTCTGGCTCTGTATCAAGAATCCGCACGTGGAGGAAAACATCCTTCGAGAACTCTGCACTGTTCTGCTCTCCACTCGTGGAGAAGATATCTCAACCTGGCTGGAAGAACCTCTCGTGTTCGACGAGGTAGACCGTCTCGTCTATCTCAAAGCTGCCTTGTCCGAGACCCTGCGACTTTACCCTTCCGTCCCCGAAGACTCCAAACATGTGGTTGAGGACGATGTTCTCCCCAACGGAACTTTCGTTCCGGCGGGGTCCTCCGTGACGTATTCGATTTACTCCGTTGGGAGGATGAAGTTCGTATGGGGAGAGGATTGCCTCGAGTTCAAGCCAGAGCGGTGGCTCTCTCCCGAAGGAGACAGAATTCAGGTTCAAGACTCTTATAAGTTTGTTTCCTTCAATGCGGGACCGAGGCTTTGTTTGGGGAAGGACCTGGCTTACTTGCAGATGAAGTCCATCGCGGCGGCGGTGCTGCTCCGCCACCGCCTCGCAGTCGCGGCGGGCCACCGCGTGGAGCAGAAGATGTCGCTCACGCTCTTCATGAAGTACGGTCTGAAGGTGAACGTGTGCCCTAGGGATCTGAAACCGGTGCTGGAAAAGATAAAAAAGACCGAGGGTGTCGATGTCGGTCAAAAGTGACTTTCATTTGCTTAATTAAACAGATATATACATCATCAGTTTAAATAAAGCAATAATTACGCTTTATAATATAAGAATTTTATATTATTATCATTATTATTACTACTTAATATCGAATGATGATGTGTCGTTTCGTTTCATTTGTGTTGATTAGCTTAATTTACCCTTTCTGTTATATAGATAGAATTTCCCTTTCCTCATAAGCTTCATTTCTCATTTCATCTTGTACGATTTTGATAAAAAAAAGTTAATGCTGCGCTGCCTAAACCAATGTTAATTTGCTCTGTAATTTACAGTACTATAATCTGTTCGTAAATATTAAAGGTTTTTCGGTGATACCAATGTACTTTTTGCTTACCTTTGATGGTAGCGTACTTGCGTAATTAAAGACTTATGTAGTCTTTGTCACGATATATAGTTCGTAACTGCACATTTCTAGAACTGGGATGTCTGGATTTGTGGCGATGCTTGCTTGTGATGCATATACTGTTTTTTCAACTACAAAACAGACAAAGTTATAGGATTGCACGTGAGTTGGTATACTAAGGTTTGGTGTAAAGCAGAAAAACGGTGCACTTTAGTTGCATTTAATTACAATTTTTGCTTAGATTTTGTTCTTGTTTGTATCCCTCGAATGTAAAGTCCCAAAACCAAAAATCTAATATACATTATACATACATATCACAATTATAATAAATATAAACATGTTTAATAAACCAAAAATAGAGCAAGTAATTATAAATACCTAAATTTTACAAACCAATAATATATCCACATACACAATATTTAAATTCTTTAAATCAAGAATTCTCCTTTAGTACTAATTCAAAGCACTACAATAACATGTTGCTCTCACAATCACAAATCTATCTATTGATCTCCCTGTCGCCTCCACTTAAGGCTCCATAAATAGATTAAATTAGATTAGAAAACTTTTGAAAGACATGTCTTCTCTCATAATTTAACTATCTCTTAGTTAAATAATCATTTTTCATTTATTATATGCAATGAAATCTTGGACAACCCACTTCATGATATACAAATTGAGTTAATAATCAATATCATTATGTACATTTACCTACACAGTTATATAAATTTTGTCACACAGAAAATGTTATAACACGTTATATTAAAGCGATATTTCTTAGAAAAGAAAATTAGTTAATCAGTCTCATTTATCACCCAAATGTTTATATTTTTTACGTTCTTTTGATACTTTAGTGACATTGTTATAAAAAGGATAAATTTTCAGTATTTATTTCTCACTAGAACTACTACTTATATGCTTGAACATAGAGCAACTACTCGGTCAAATAACAATATTAAATATCATTGTTTGAGTGCTGTTTAAGAGACAAATCCATCACTTCAACGAGATGTGCATAAGAATATAATTCAAAAAAGTTAGTCAATTAAAAAAAATTAAACATGTCAATTCAACCCAACATCATATTAAATTTAGTTCTAACACCAAAAAAATAATCTAATTGGTTTAAATTGTCTACTTCTACTCAAACCTAATATTAAATATTAGAATTGAACATTAATAGACAACCAAATTAATCAATTGTCAATCCAAAAGAAAATAATCACTTGAACTAAATTGATATTCTTCCTATTATATAATACTTTATTAACTCGAAACCAAAATAATAACTATCATCTCTAATTATATAATTTAAAAAATTGCTGAAAGCAAATCAAGTTAATTAAATTACAGTAATTCATTTTAACTTGAAATTACTTATTTTTAAGTAATTTTTAAAAAGAGGAAATTGTAAAAGATATCCTAAGTTTTTTCTTAAAAAAATTGATTAAAAAAAATAAAATACATCATTAAAAATCTATATCGACATAAATTTATCTTTTTACATCAAATGATACATGTGGCAATAAATCATAAATGCAAACAAAAGAAAAACACGACTTGAGAACCTGGGATAAAAGATTTACTCAAACGAAAAGTATGACATTATAAGTTTTATCTGATTTTTATCACCTTCTAAATAATGGTTTCGAAAGAGAAAAGAAATGATAACCTAATTTCTCAAAAACTTTAAGATAAATAGATTTTTAAATTTAGAAAAAGATTTTCTTCAAATAAAAAATAATTGTAAATAACCTCATAACTTAAAATAATTAAAATATTTATTCTTTATTTATTTTAAACTTTCTGGTTCATATTTATAAAAATATGACATTACATCAATATAAACATATTTTTCATCAAATTTGTTTATGATTTAGTTTCCGAATTAAATATAATTCAAATAAAATTATTAATTTGACATTATCAATTAGTTAATAATTACTTATTTAAATTGAAACTTGATGAATTGCATTTAGTTTGTTTTTGGATTTTTCTCAATTTAATTTTATTCAGCACTTAAAGAATGTACTGGGTTGAATAAGATGCATGAGTAGTATAAAATGTTGACACGTGTTCAGTTTATTAATGAAAAGAAAAAATATTGACTCAGTTAAAGATATAGACAACTTTAGAAATTTAGTTTTTAACCTTTTGAATTCATTCATTTTAATTTTTACAAAAAGTATTACTAAATGTTTATGTTCTTTTAGAGAAATATTTTTAGTTTAATCATGTTGGTATTTTATTTTATTTTTATGGAAAAGCAATGAATCAAACCGATTCAAATTGATATTAATACTATTTGTTTAGTTTGTATTGGCTAAAAATAAAATAAAAACTACAACCTAATAAATTCAATTTAGTTATAATATGTTATTTCAAACATATGTGTACGCCTACGATAAATGTTACTTCAAACAATGGTGTTTTTTTTTTCAAATACGAGAATGAGTATTTCTAGTTGGAAATGTTAATGTTTGGAAATAAATGATTGTCAACTTTGTGCATAATGATAAAGATGAGTTACCGTTATCTTTAGCAGCATTCCACTTATGTTGTACTTATCCCTTGTTTGCATCACAGCATGGAAGGAGCAAACATGGATATTTGCAGAAAGACATTGATCTCTCTTTGTTTATATATATATATATATATATATATATATATATATATATAAAATAAAAGAATATGTTGAATGTGGATATGATCCGTCATATCTTCACATAGTTCATTACTTAATATTTTATTCATTATTTATGTTTTAATAATCATAATGATAAATGTATTAAAATATACTAAAATAATAAATAAAAAAATGAATATTTTAATAATTAAAAGATAATCTCAATTTCTTACACATTTTAACTTTCATTTAATCTAAACAATAATTTTCATTTTCTCTTTGTAATCTTCCACTTTCCACCTGATCCAAACAATTCGGGAGTCTTCCTAAATGTGTTTCTTTCAATAAATTTGTGTATGTTTAAACTAGGGAATGGAAATTCGAGAAGAGAAAAAAAAAATATTGTGGGTATGTCAAGTTTTTAAAATATTTTTCAGGTCATCCATATCATAACATTATTAGTAGCGTCATATTTTTGTATCGGTATCGATAAAAGAAAATATTGTAAAAGCAAATTCTTTAAAGAATATATTATATATTAATATTTCAAAAAATTTGAGAGCATATATAAATGTACATTTCTAAAACAAGTACGGTGTCATGTTCCACCATGTTCGCGTATCACTATCATCAATTAATATTTTTAATATTTTCTCATAGTATGTTACAAATATTAAATAAAATGAAGCTTATATTTTTCTTAATTTGGAACGTATTTATCCAACTTGTACATATTCTGAACACCAAACTGAGTATGAAATCAAGTTTTAATATTAAATAATCCATTTGCCTTGTTACAATTAAAAAAAAACTATAATCTTTGATTTTATTAACTATTTTATGATTTTAGTTTTTGTAAATTGTTATTTGTTAAGGATTTATTATACTATTTTATTTATTTGCTCTAAACTCGATTTCACATTAACAGATTCTTAGTTGTAAGAATTGGTTGAGAAACTGTTGATGAAAATTGAGAGCAGAAAAGCTTCCTATAACATGAACATTTGAAAAGAAATGCAATGGACGTGTTCCTATAACATGAACATGGTTGATGTCATTGAGATGAGTTGTTCAAAGAAGATATTGTGAAGCAAATCAACACAGTGTTTGTTATCTTCAGAAAGCATAAATAAATCTTACCCTAACTAGATGGTTTAGGTTACCATAACTGCTCACAAGCCCTAAAAATCTCAGAAAGTGATTCAACACTTTGATATATTGGATCATATACACTCTATCTATCACATTTCCAATAATGGAATATATATATATATTATAAACGTAATTAAGATATTGTCAAATGGTGTCATTTGATGTGTTAATATTATATATATATTTTTTAATTTTTTCTAACTTGCAAGGTTTTTTCACAAGAGTAAATAAATTATAGGATTTGATGCTTTTGGTTTCCAAGACTCTTAACTAAATTTGTGTTTGTGATTATGTATTAGCGAATTCTAAGGCTACAAAACATTATGTATGTTTTTTCGTGAAGAAAATGTGATGTCGCTTCATAATTTCATAAGAGTGTAAATCAATTTTATCTAAAACTAAACCAATCTAATGAAATATTATATGAAAGTACAAATATTATATGAAAGTACAAATACTTCTTGGTTAAAGAAAATTAAGGGTTTAAATGTAGCTTTTTTTTCTCACATTTAAGTAATATTGTTTTTTTTTAAAGAAAACAATCTTGTAAGACTAGATGACTCGATATTTTTTCATTATTTTTCCTTTTTCTTTCTTGTTTTTTCTTATGATTTCTCACACCCCTCTCTCTCTCTCTCTCTCTTATGAAATTTATTTATTTTTTTTTTTGCCATGAAAAATATCCTATTAACAAAAAGGTAACTGAATATGGAGATTTATATCTTATCAAAATTTGATTTGAAGTGATTTTCTTTCTAAAACTTTTCTACTTAATCATTTGATTTTATTAATAAATATTCCAAAGCTTTATATATGTTTTGTTAATAGAAAAATGTTATTTTCTTAACCAATGACATTCCCTTAGGTTTTTAGACGTTTGCTATTTTTTTAACAAAATTTTTGCTATTACATGAAACACGAAAAATTGTCAACAGGAAAAATTATTTG